ATATCATGTTCATAACAACAGTCTAAAACATGAAAGTGTACTACATGTCATGCTTCAACATTACTCGCACTTCAGATATATCCATCTTGCGGCAAGAGGAAATAAATGTTTTTAGACGTTTCCTATTTGGTAACACAAGTTGACATAAATATCGTTCTGTTTTTGTTACTCATGGAATGATAGAATATTTGTTACTCAAGAAAGATAGAATATTTGTGTTACTTGTGTCACTAAATAGAGAGCGTTCTTTAACAGCATATCATCATCGAGAGTTATTTTATTGAATGTTACAAAGATTTTCTTTGATATGATCATCCTTGGTCGCGTTGGTGGCAAAACACAAGAACTTCAATTTACGATGAACATAATCGGTGTACCGCAACTCGATATATCTAAAGTCCGAGTAAAGTTCTATCTAATCCTCCGTACGCTGAAAATACCTAATCTCGATGCGTTTACAGAGATTCACGAGCTTCGGATAATCCCGTACGATCATAGCCAGCTTGTTGTCAAGTAGCGGTGTCGTGATTATCGTGAATATGTGACCAAAAACCAAAGCGTCCAACTCATTGGGTTTGCTACATACAAAATCATGCGAACAAATCTCGTTAATATCGCATCTAGCGGTCGATATGTATATTTATATATTTATAAAATCATTACATATTTACTTAGAAAAAGTTAGATATATTTCGTTAATTTATCGACAATGTAAAAGAATGCTCGGAAAGAGGAGGAAGCGATTCAGGTTGTGATCGAAAGCCATCCCACAGAGTATCTTTGGAGGATGATTCAATTATTTCAAACTCTTCTGCAATCTTGTTTTGTAATTCAAAACTAAAGTAATGATGTTCGATTCTGAACATGTGCTCGATAAGCTTGGGAAACTGATGAATTATGGCAGCGACTTCTTCATTGTAAGGGAAGGAGGGCGACGTGAGAGTGTAAATATGACCATATACCAGGGCATCGACTTCGGTGGGTCTTATGGAACAGGATAATTTGTCAAATTAACTGAATTGATAACAAAAAGGAGAGAAAGTAAGAAGAAACACAATCACTACTTACTCTTTTCCAAAGAAAAATTCTTCGTCCGCTAGCCTCTCAGATAATGCTATACAACACTTCTTTACATCATCGAAAACTTCATCCAAACTTTTGTTGTACCAGCCAAGTATGCTGAGTTTTTTTATGACTTCTCGTCTCTTCTGCCAATTCAAATAATGATTAAGCGGCCAAGGGTATACGCTTCCATGCCTCTGCTTTGTGACGTTTAAAATCGCAGGGTCTACCCAACAGATGTACAGCTCAGCATTAACAAATACATTGTTAACAAGAGACTGGTATGCTCTCATGTCTACTTTGCCATCAGGGTCCAGATGATCAGAGAGACTTATTCCTTTACTTCCTATGTGTGCCACTATACTATCAAACTCTGATATTAACTTTGTGCCGCACTTGATGAAGGGCACGCGACCTGACGGTGACATAAACTCTGCATTCTTCCTCGGTTCTATTTGAAAATCAAGTTGACACATCTTGAGGAAAGCCTGTACTGCAAGACAGTTTGCATTGTCGGGAAGCAGAATCTGCTCGACTTCGTACGGTTGATATAAGGTAATTGGTTGTGGCCATGACTCCTGAGCTGCGATAAGAGAATGCAATTGTTAGAGACCCTCACAAGGTGGTTCACCTACATTTTCTAATGACACTTACATAATCGATACTCGCATATGCATACATAAAGAACTAACGAATGAAAAGCTACGGCGTAAGGGAAAAAAACTGGACGATTTAGGTAAGGTCGAATAGTTGGATATTTACGAATTTGACGGTAACAACATGCAAAAAGTCTACACGCGATTTTGTTTACAGTTTTGTTGATGCAAGGTTAGATCACTCAAGCGGGATTTGTGGGAACGGTTTGGACAATGCGATTCAACGCGATTTTCAGACGTTACCTTCCAATTCCACCGCGATCGAATCGCCCAGCAATACATGCGGCATGTCTACGACAATCGTACAATGACGCTGCCTTTTATTTCACGTTGCCTCAAAATCCACAACCGATCGCTCGCATAAAAGCGCCACGAGCGAGAAATGAGCACGCTACACGCACTTTCTCCCTTACGGCCTCACATATGTTTATATCCAGTTTATGTCTTACGCGAAATAAAGTTGACAAAAATAGACCAAATTCATGGAAAATTCGACTATATTTTGATTAATTTAATCAGCAATAAATTTATTAAATGATATATTTTTTAGTATTTTGATAATGTAGATGGAATTATTGTTGTGGAAAGAGTTTGATTAATGTTATGTGTGTGTACATAATTATAATTAAAGCTTGTTGACTCCTTGACTAATCAAATCAATCGCCGATTACTTATAAATTAAATTAATTGGAGTTTAATTGAAAGTGTCATATTTACTGTGTAAATTAATAAAGCATCGATCAAGATACTCCCTAGAAATATCTTCAGTTTCTTCCGCGTCAACTCGAGATTTCTCCTGAATCGATGCAAACAAATTAAATCTTACAATTAAATCAAATCTTACAATTAAATCAAATCTCTGTCTCACAGTTATTTATGAAATTATATATTATTTTTATATTATGTTACATTAATTATTATGTTATTATTCGTTAAAAAATAACCTTTGAGGACTTGAAGCCAGATAGAAATGTATGCAGGACACGTGCATGCAATGACAAATTATTTTTCTTTTCTATATTTTGAAACTCATTCTGATAAGAATACATGGTCGTTAAACAAGAACCTCACATTATTTTCTTGATAAGACTTGTAATTTTCCGTCGCGGTTTAAATTTTGGTCGGAGTTTTATAGCTGCGATGTGTTTTTTTTTTAAAGGTGCAATTTCATGCAACGAAGGAAAGCTGGCTTTTTATCCTCACTTCGATCAAAAAGCAGCATTCAAAAGCTGTTCATTCTTTTCCTGCTTCCTTTTGCGTATTTTCGCTGACTTTAAGTTAGAAATGAAACTGGCGAATACAATCGTTGGAGAGCTGAAAAAAAAGAAGAGAGCTGAGAAACGATGGAATTCAACAACACAGCAAAAAAACTTGCGCTACGAGATAATCAAATAGAATAAAGAGTGTTTCAAAACAAAAATAAATTGATTATATATGCGCGAATGTGCGAACTGAATTTTGTGTATGTAATATTGAGATGAGATGGAAATTACAAAAGTGCGAATTTATTAGAATATTTATAATTCTATTAGTCAAATTCTGAATTTGCTCATTTTTTGTAATTTTCACCTTGTTTGAAAATACACAATCAATCCTTATAGAGATCTCTAAGTTTTTGGAGATTTTTACTATAATTGTTTGCAACATATATTCGAATTATACATTAAAAATTTCTATTTAATTATACCTATTTAAGTTACTATACATATTGTATAACGTATATTAAATAAAAATTCCAACTTATATGTCAAGTTTATAATTAGATAAACTTAACATTTGTTAACCATTTCTATCACGTTTCGTTATCCACAGAATACAAACTACATGGAATCAATATTATAATTTCTTTTAACCAAGGTTTGTAGAAATCATGTTTTAAACATATTTTAAACTATTTAAAACATGTTTAATCGATGTTTTTAACATATTTTAAAAAGTTTTATAATACTATTTAAAGCATGTACGAAACATTAAAAACATGTTAAAAAAACATTTTTTTGCCAACCCTACTTTTAACAATATACGTATATAAATCTAATAATAACACATCATGTTTTACATTGTTGAGCATAACATTAATTATAACATTGTTGTGATATTACTGTTAGTTTGTTGAGCAACTGTACGAATCTAAAATATATATTAAAAATGAAATATGAGCAAGGGAAAAAAATTTATTCTCTCCAGTTCAATTATAATTTCTAGAATAGCAATCGCGTACTATTACAAATTGCAGACTCTTTTATCGCCGACAAATACGCGTACTATGTCAAGATCGATCAAATGCGTGAGAACCTTCCGGGTGGTCCGAACTCCGAAGTCATTGGGGGCGGAAGGGGGGGAGCGCTCTGAACATTGGAGCATGTTTGTGATTGATCGCGATTAATTGCGGAGGACGATTGGCATGCGTGACGTTTGTCGCCTCGCCACCAATCACGCGATCTCATTGGCCCGAGAGGCCTAAAATCAAATCAAATTCCATCGAAACGCGACAGTTGCCGATACTGGATTCCATTTCGATTAATAAGAGATCATGTGAGAAAAAAAAAAGAAAAAAAGGAACGAAAAAAACAGAGAAGGAAAGATGGGAAAAAATCGTCGATTTAACATATTATAAATACACCAGAAACTTGAAGACAAAACAGAATATATTTTTCAATGACGAATCTCTATCCTTTTTGATATCATAGATTTTATGATATACCACAAAGCTTGAACTTTTTCATTTAAACAAAAAAAGTCAAGCTTTAATTTGTTCTAAAAAAATATTGCAAATATATAGAAAATATATTTACATATTACATAGATATATATAATTAATAAATTAAGCATATGTTTGAAATTAGAATCAGAATTGAAAGAAGTGCGTATTCCTGATCGAGTATATAGCGTCGAGTCACCGTCCTCCTCTTCCTCATCCTCCTCACGTCCGTCATTGTATACGTTCTATACGTTCTTTAGATTCTATATGTGTCTGTATCGTCTGTATCGGCGCGTGAATGTATACGAGTACGAGCAGTACGAGTGAGCTGTGAGGATAGAGGAGCATCGCGTTGCGCAAACGATTCGCGCCGTCGGGCGACCAGCAGGCCGCCAGTCTACCTAAGTCCATCGTTCGCGCCGCGCTATCATCTTCCTGCACTAAGCGCTACGTTCAGAGGTAAGTATACTGTACTTGTTGCTTACGGACGGGCCGCGCGGCGCAGTTCGTCACGGGGCATAGATAGAGGTGGGATACTGGGATAGAGAAGGAGAGTGCGAAGAAGTAGTGGCCGGTCGTGCAAGAGAAGAGAAGAGAAGAGAAGAGAAGAGACGTGACGAGACGAGACGAGACGAGAAGAGAAGGGAAGAAGTAGGAAAGAAAGGGAAGACTACACGCACGGCTCTCCACCTCCGTGTCGCACGCGCCGATCAGCGCGGATCAACGCAAGCCGGGTGAGAGAGAAACAAAGAGATAAAGCGTGTCTCGGTGACGATCCACGTGGATCGTCACCGATGTACGTCAGCACTGATCAGCATTCGACACGCCAGCAGAGCCGCCGGGTAGCCTCGATCGAACGACGGGATCATGTCCCCGGCTACCCCGCTGCGAGAGCTGGAAAGCCCTGGCCTTCCTAACCTAAATTCTAAATTCTGTCAGTTGGCTCAGTCGGCGCCGAAACTACCGAACGGTAGTTGGTACGTCGAAGAAGGGGGAATGAGCCAATGGAGAGAAGGTGGACGAGGTTTCTCTCCTCGTTCCCTTCTCTCTCGCCTTCTCCTAATCTCCCACCTCCAATTTTTTGACAGCTAAAAATACAGTTTTTGATAGCGGCTACGCCGCGACTATTTCGGCGCCGGCCGTAATGCCTGTAATTCTCGGCCATACTTTTCCGCGTTCGCGAAGGTCCCTCCTCGCCGACGCGTGGAAATCCTTCGTGCGATGTCCTTTCTTTTTTTTCTCTCCTCGTAAAAAAGTCTGCGCGGTAAAAAGGAACAGGCCCTACGATTCGATCGAGGCGTAAGTAGATCGAGATCTCGCATCGATTCGCGTCTAATTTCATTGTTTACCGATCGTATACATACATTTACGAATTACGATATGCGGCGTGTCTCGACGACACGCGCCAACCGCGTATGTACATCTCTTTATCGATGTAGAATAACGTAGCTAATGACAATTAGCAGATCGAAAGAGGAAAACAAGGTGCGAGGGACGAACATCGCGCACCGGTGTCGAATCGCACGCAGATATGAATGAACGAATACCGAAGTCGTCGGAGATCGGATATCGATTTATTTTTAACCGTACGTTATCGGCATCCTATCACTTGCGCACGTTATCACATCCTGTCACCTGTAATTTATGGGAATCGATAATTATTCCTCCGAATAAAATGTTTAGATTTGTACTTTATAACAGATTGTCATTGATACTCGAAAATTTCCCATATTTTCAGGTTGATTCGGTTGCGGAGCTTTTCACGTTACAATTTCGAACAACTTTGAACGAGATAAAATTTAAATCCCATTTTCAAAGTTTAAGTTTTATTTCTTTCTGTTTGATATCTTTCGGTATCCCCCACACTATACTTGAAAATTGGATTCAAATGTTATATTTCGTTCAGAATTGTACCACTTTGCCCTAACATTTTTTTTTTCCGGCAAACCCAATGCTATCTTAAGTCGTAATTTCTAAGCTTCAAGTTGGTTAGATTCCAACTGCAAAATTTAGAGCTTGGAGCAAATTAACGTCACAACTCGGAGCTTAGATCAAAAGGCTAAGAGGTTACTACATCTATTATAGACTGAAGCTAATCCTAAGATAACACAGAGTACACGCGAGAAAGAAACAATTGAAGCAACAAAGTCAACTCTTTTTTTTTTTTCAGTCAACAGATCTGATAAACTGAGCGAAACGAAGAACGCAATTCTCACGCGTGGGACGACACAATTAATTAGCAAGCCGAGCCGTTTTCGGATTTCCGACGAGAACAATCTGCGCGTCAGTCCTTTTACAGAGACATGTAGTGCACGAGAGATATCACATCTATATGTACGTAGCGCTCTCACGTGCGCGCGTATCAGTTTTATTTTAATCTCTTTCGCGCTCTTTAATGCCGAACGGCTCGTCATCTCATGGGGAAGTTAATCGTTACTTTATATTTAGCCGGATTTAACTACATAGTTTTATTGTGATGCGCGCACGAGAGTACGCTTTTAATATAGATTAGATGTTTATATATACATATACGCGGCAGAAGAATGAGTCAGGCAGCACACATTGCATAAGATGTCGCGACGCTGGATGGGCCTATGCCCAGACTTAGCCGTAGATTACTTGTATCAATAAATGCAGCATTGGACAGATATTTGTTCAACAAGTAGCGTAATTTTATTCGTTCACTGACTCGCTCGCTCGTTATCTGACGATTTCGAAGAAACAATAATATTAAAAAAAATTTTTTCAAGTGTTTCTACACGCTTTTTTTGTATATATTTCTGGAGTTTTTCTTTTTCACCGGCCTCGTAATAATTTACTTCTATCGCACAAATTATTGGTGGGAATTACCCAAACGTAACGAAAGCGAAGGTTGAACAATTTTTTAAATAATTTGTTAAGCGTTAAACCTTATAAAGAAACATTTTGTTACATTTGTAAGTCAGACGTTTGCGAAACGCTGTCGCAAGCACTTCTAATAAACTTCGCAATGAAGTTATCGTGGTTTTTAAGTAGGATTGTCATGTAAGTATACAAGTAATGCGGTGCGAAATAACTAAAATCCTTTTGTACTAATCGTAATAATTTTTATATTAATCAAAATAATTAATCATACTCATTGTTATAAAAATTTACTAATAATTAACGGAAAAGAAAGAAATAGTATCGCTGATGATAAGAAGATAGTGAGGAAAGAGAAATATTAAAGTACTGTTATCATCATTATTTGATTACCGCTATCTGGTTATACTTGACATATTATCATGGAATTTGTGCCGATAATTGTTTCCTGCGCAATGTTGTACGTATATTAATAAGTCTATAGAATTAATTCTCCAACAGTTGAAATGCGCGCTTTATAACTTCCCATGCCTATAGATCGGTAGTTAAAATACGATATATATTCGTATACGTGGTGTGTGTATATATATATATATATATATATATATATATATATATATATGTGTGCTCTGCTTTCAGGAGGCTCATCATGTCACATCATATCGTTACCGTATGCGTGGTGTGTGTACTGTGCGCCGCACATGTACCCTGTTCGGCGCATACGAATTTATCGGTGATGGCATCGAATAATTCAACAAATACCAAAAATCATTCGGATCCACAAGGACAACCGTATATATACTTGAAGAATCAACAGAGATACGATCCAAGTAACTTCATTAGCAATAAACATGACGCTGTAAGATCTCATCCTATTCAACACATTGACAGTAATAGCAATAATAATATTTCGGTAACCACTGAGGCGATATCGACTACATCATATGATACTCATCTTAAGAAACAGATGACGGAAAGCTTCAAAGGCGGCGGCAGTCTGGAAGATACACGATCATCAATTAACAACGCAAGTGTGTCTGTAAATTCGAGAGATGCGGAACTTTTGGAGCGTCTTGCTCAAACAGAGTTGGTGGCAAGTGTCAAACAAATGTCTGCACGGTCTAGCGAAGCATTACGTATCGTTAATAAATCTAGATTAAAAAGAGATGTGAATGAGAGGTACTTCATGCAGAAGATTTTTGAGGCCTACGGAGATGGAACGAGTATAACTATGGAAGGTTTTGAAAAACTTGTCCGGAAATTGGGTCTACTAAGATTATTTGATACGTTAGAGGTGGATAGTGATATTGATAGAAGTATGTATAAAATTTGTAATAAACACATGTCGATATACACATACAAAAGATTATAGTAAACTTAACAAGAATATTATATTATATTATATTATATTATATTATATTATATTTGTAATAATTATACAATAATGCGTTCACATCTATTTCAGTGCTTAAATACTCAAGAGTTGCTAAGTACTATTGCCCAAGATACACACTACGTTTCCAGTAACGCGACGACATTGCCTAACTGGCTTTTCGAACGCGTGTGTCCGGTTCTTGTGTATCAATTAGCGGCCGAATCCAGTTCGGAGAGAAACGGCTGTATACGAGTACCCGAGAACTTCAAGCCTGTCATGCCAATCGATAAATTTTATACAGCGGAGGATTTGGCGCGTAATACTGTAAAAGGTATTATATGGATGTAAACGAACAAAATGCAATGATCAATCTAGTCTTAAAGATATACGTTAATTCTCTTGGAAGAAAGGCAATAAAAAAATTGTCACTTTTATTTATTCCAGTCTGGGTGTATTCAACAATTAGTATTTTCGTAATTAGTCTTAGCGGACTGCTCGGTGTAGCAGTAATTCCGATCATGGGAAAGAATTATTACCATCACGTGCTACAATTTCTAGTTGCCCTGGCCGTAGGTACTTTAACCGGTGATGCCTTTATCCATCTATTACCACATGCAAGTTTCTTTTATTTTATCAAGGTGTTGTATACGTCCATAACAGAATGATATATTTTAATATCACAGTATCTTGTGTTTGTAGGCGATGATGCCACTTCATCACCATGAAAACGATAAACATCACGAACACGAACATCACCACGACGAGAGTAGCGCATTATTAATCGATCATGTGAATCTACATAGTATGAATATGTGGAAAGGATTAGTCGCTATGATGGGTTTCGTGACATTCTTTTTCACTGAGAAGGCGTTAAATATGATATCTGAATGGCGAAAGCATTGGCAGCATAAGAAAAAGGTGAATAAAAGAGGAATTTTTATCTTCAACGTGATTTCTTTTATTATATCAATCGGTGAAATAATATTGTAGTTACCTACGCGCGTGAGAGTAATGAGGGAGAGCGATGGGCCAAACAGCAATGTTGTCGGTGAAAAGCTATGTAAACACAAATACTCTTCATACCCGTATTGTTACGGCGAGATTGCTAGTGAAACTCAAGGTGACAGATGTTTTTTGTATCAAATTTAATGTATATTAAATTTCATGATTATCTGGGCTGTCGCGTTTCGATCAAAATAGAGCAGCTTATCATGTTAATATATTTACTTCAAAGGCATATTGAAAGGTAAAAATAATCAATGAAATATGCAGATAATCATCACAATCGTCGAGGGAATCATCATGAGAGACCACCTATCATCGAGGAGGAGAAACCATTGACATCCAATTGTAATTCTGTCACGAAAATCGTGACCGATGACATAGAGAAAAAACCAAAGGATGATTGGAGAATGGACGATCCGATTGTAAATGCTAAGAAAAATGCCGATGGTGCTGATGTATTAAATGAATCGGAGAGCTATACCGTCATTCTACGTGAACACGAGACCAAACATCACGGCCATAGTCATTCTCATGGTGTGTTTTCAACATTTTATAATAAAATATAAATACTATAATCTCTTACGCAATGTGTGCATGTCTGATAGCATGAACGTTTTGATTCTAGGTCACGTACACTCGGCTCCCGAATCAATGTCCAATGTGGCTTGGATGGTTGTAATGGGGGATGGTCTGCACAATTTTACGGATGGCATGGCTATCGGGGCAGCTTTTTCGGCAAACATCGCAGGTGGATTCTCCACGGCTATTGCTGTTCTCTGTCATGAATTACCTCATGAACTCGGTATTGTCTCCCTGATTCCTGATGGTGTACCTATAAATACATATGCATAATTACGACGAATTCAGTTGGACCGCACTTGTGCGTACTGGTGTATATTAAAGCCGTTGTACACTAATTTAAGTGTACACTAATTTGAGTGTAAAAGGGAAATGCAAATATAATTATAAAATACATATTTTACCTAATCATAATAAAGTGAGTTGAGTATTTCACTATTTAATGGTTTAATGAGTTTCTATGTTTATATAATGATCATATTTTTACGATAATTTGTGTACGACGGCGATAATGTGCGTCAGTGCACACTAAGTACATCTATTAGAACTCGCTATTAGTAATACAATAATGTGAATATTCTTGTACAGGTGACTTTGCAGTGCTTCTGAAAGCGGGCATGAGTACCAAACAGGCTGTTTTTTACAATTTATTGTCTTCAGTGCTTTGCCTGTTAGGTATGATAGGTGGAATATTGTTAGGAAGTACTCCAGACGCTACCAACTGGATATTTGCGGTTGCTGCTGGAATATTTATATATATAGCATTAGTAGATATGGTAAGTATACTTTGTTCTACGAAAGATTTATGATAACTACTTAAAAATGAAACGCTTCTTAAATTACTTCTTTTTTTTTAGGTACCAGAATTGTCGTCGAGTCATTCCGCGGAAAGTGGTTCGCGATTACAATGCATTTGGCAAACTTTAGGCTTATCGACAGGCCTTGGAATTATGTTACTTATCGCCGCCTACGAGCACGATCTTAAACATATTTTCGACAACTAGATTAATAAGTAATTGCTCTCGTATTAATGTTATAAATGAAATCTCTTCCTGTTACGTTCAAACTATCATATTTTTTTGTAATTTAATCTCATTAGCAATCCTTCAGCGTTTAATGTTACAATGAAAGTAAGTTGTTCTCTTTTTCTTTCTCCCTTCCTTTTTGAAATTATTTCGAAAAACAGAACGTAATGGGAAGGCTACACAAATTAGTCGCAGTTTAGATAAAGCGACAATATCCGAACTTGGATTGCCGATAAAAATACTTTAGAAAAATGAAAGTGTTGAATTCTGAAGGAATAGGATTTCTATAGACAGAGTACCAGTAATCGAATTGTCAAGCAGTCGAATTACAAACTGTGTTAATTATTTCCGAACCAACTAAAGATATTTCTATGCCTTTTCCGAGATCAGCTTGGAGATACTCTTATCGGGTGAGCAAAATTAATTTTTCCATCATAATAAGATAAATTTTTAATTGTCTAGTAAATAGTTATCAAGAGACTGAACGATTTTGAAACAAGTAATAAATTTTTTTCTTTTACGGAGTTAACCACACGTCAACAACATTAGTTATTGTCAGTAATTAATTCATTACTGTTAAATGTATGATATTGAGGGAGAGTCATGTATAGTATTGTTTTACGAAAAAAAAACATTAACTTTGTATAAGCTCTGTGTAGATTGCACACGAGGCATTTAGTACGATATTTCCAATTGTTATTATCTGGGTAGAAGAACGGTACAAAAGAATATATTTAAATATTGTTAGTTTGCAGCAAATTTGTGATAATTTTGCATAACCGAGTTACTTACGAATCAATGTATATTTCATTATAGATACACAACTACATTATTACGAGACTTTGAATATTATCATATTCTTGCAATTTAAATAGATTTATTACTAGATTTTTAGCGATAAGAATGTCAGTTATTTTTTAAACTGCTTGTTACATTTTTTTTTACAAGAAAAAAAAAAGTGCTGCACGGTCTCAAAAAAGATTTTCTCACGAATCAACACGGCTTAGGAGAAGTATCATACATGACAATATTTGAAACTTGTATTTATGTTTATAATACACGAGTGTTTATTTTCACCAAATATTAATAATAACGTTAATATTAATAATTATAACGATAACGATAGTAATAATTTTAGGATTTTATATACACTGTATTGAAATGCTAAGAACTGTAAGAATTTTTTCACGTTGTTACTTTTACTTCATGATCGTTATGATGTGCATATTAATTGCATTTAAATGTAACGAAAAATTATAGCTATATAAGAAATTGTACTGTGTGTACGTTGCTATGATACATTGACTTTTCAAAATTATTGCTATTCTGTCAAAAATTTAATTCCATCCATATATTATAAGTTCTTCTTTTAATTATACATAAGTATTAATATATATATTTTTTATAACCAATAACGCATGCGTGCAATTTTGGTTATTTTTATAAAAAATGTAAAAATGTAAAGAGCATTACATGTTTTTGTATAATCAATTTTGTTTGTGCACAACTGAAATTTCAAAACTATGCTACCGAGATACAAATAAAATAAATCACACTCTTCTTTTAATTAAAAAAAAAAAACATTTTACTTATTTGATATATTCGAATATTATAACATTTATTTGATATCTAAGATAATAAAATATTCGATTAAGTATTTTAAATACTCGAATACTGAAATATTAAATGGCGAAAATGATTAAGAAAACAACTCACCAATAGAAAATAGAAAGTACATTGTTTAATTTAAATAAATATTAATAATAAAATTATAAAAGCTCTTTCTCAAATTCCTTGAAGATACATCTTTAGTGTAGCACAAAAAGAGTATTGAAATAATACAATTTAATATCTATTATATAAAAAAATAATACTAAAGTAATTAATAACAAGATTTTGTAACAAAAGTAATTCCACTTTGAAAATCATATAAAAATATTTTGTTATATAGTGACAAAATCATCCCGATTGCTCATCTGCGCTGACAAACTGAACGCCGTATCCGTACTAATCTCACTATTCAAGCTCTCATTTGCAAACGAAGATTTTAAATTAGCAGAATCATTCATTTTCCTCATCAGTCCTGCCATATCGTCATCAGGATCGATTTCTTGTGCTTCGTCCATCACATTTCCATCGATTGACTATCTATCGATCATCAATCCTTCTTGCTTTACGGGTTTTTCCTCTTCGAACTGCAGAGACGAATACAGATTACAGAATATTCGTAACCAGCTTTAGATAGTTACTGAAAAGTTCTACCATACCTTCATAAGTTCTAATTTCAAGTAACAAGTATCGAAGTCTTTTTTTATAGCATGTATTTCAGATTTTATTATTTCTAGCTGTTGTTGCAACTTGAAAATTTCCACATTTATAATATCAACATTAACTGTCTGCGTTCCAATGCTTCTTGAGTTGCTAAAAAATTAAATTTCTCCTGTTCGCGTCATAATCATTATCTCATAATAAATAATAATAATAATAATATATTATTATTATTCATTATGAGATAATGATTATGACAGGAGCAATTTAATTTTTTATATATCTATTATTGTTCTCTCGCTTACCTGACCATCATAGCTATAAGCTGTCGTTCTTTTGACTGGTACTCGAAACGACATTTTATCGAGTGGTTTACAGTTTAAAATCTGAGACGCGGCCACGTTGAGAAGCACTGAAATATGACACCTGACAATTATTGACATTTTTTGTGATGATTTCGATAACGGATTTAAACGGATTTCGGTAGTTTCCCTTTAAATCAAACATATGAAAAACCCACGATTTTCAGCGCAATCTGGCCCAAAAAATCGCGAACTAGAATCCTGCATGCTAAAGTCCTTTTTTAGATCCGTGAGCGTTCACTATTGGACGCTAAAATATTTTAAACCAATTCGCTTCGCAACAGTTGAATCTGCTGAATGCAACCATTAAGTGCAAATTGGTTTACATATTTTGAATGTTAATAAATAATTTAACGTTTAAATTACGTATTTTTTTGTTGTCATAATAATGTACATCGTAACATTAAAAGAATTAAATTATTTTATTAACATTGAAAATATGTAAATCGATTTTACCATTCAATTGCTTTCAGTGTTGCACTAGTTTTCCTAGCGGAAAAGAATATATGTATATGCATCTTTATATGCATGTAGGGTGTCTCCAAAAAAATGAAATCGGATAGCAAGTTGATTGAGATTCGAATTAGCTTGGCTTAAAATGTTCTAGAAACTGTCACAAACAAAGCCTGACAAAATCAGGAAAGACATCGTGAGAGAAAAGAAAGGGAAGCATATGAGCGATTTATTGAGCTGCTCTTCCAAAACTTAGTGGGACAAATAAATGCAGAAGAAAATAATACTAAAATAATTAATAACACTATTTTATAACTGTACAATTTCTTGTATCTAATCTATTTCTCCAATTATGTACAAATATATTATATTAACAAATTAGTTTAAGTATTTCTATTATATGTGAAGGAGATAAATTCGCTGTATGTGCGTATGTATGTAATCAAATACTGAGTAGCCACGTTAAAAAATAGCAATTCTTTTTAAAATACCAAAGAAAGACATTTTCATCAAGCGCAGCGACAGTATAACAGCAAAAGTAACTCCACTTTGAAAATCATATAAGAATATTTTGTTATACAGTGACAAAATCATCCCGATCACTCATCTGTGCTGACAAACTGAATGCTGTATCTGTACTAGTCTCACTATTCAAGCTCTCATTTGCAAACGAAGGTTTTAAATTAACAGAATCATTCATTTCCCTCATCAGTCCCGCCATATCATCATCGGGATCGATTTCTTGTGCTTCGCCCACCACGTCAATTTCCATCGATTGACTATCAATCATCGATGCTTCTTGTTTTACAGGTTTTTCCTCCTCGAACTGCAGAGACGAATACAGATTACAAAATATTCATAATCAGCTTCAGATAATTATTAGAAAGTTCTATCATACCTTCATAGGTTCCAGTTTGCACGGCGGCGGCAAGTTCATGTGAAATACACAATTGGAATCGAAGATCACCGGCACTGGTTCGTGACATTCGATGTCCGCTCGTACAGCTCCGCATGCTTTGAATAAAACTTGATGTTGATCCTGTGAATAATATCAAACAATGGAACAAGAATTCATAGATTAAGATATGTTAATTATACATCTTTTTTTAATAGAAAATAATATAAATGTGTACCTTTAATATATGTTTACGGCAATGCTTAGCCGACGGAAGCGTTCTTTCACCACATTTTACACCACCTTCGGTGAATACGCATTTTGATATATTGGGCGGTTTTTGAATAGGCTCGGTTACCTAAAGCATAATTTTTTTCACACACACACACACACACACACACACACACACACACAATGTTGTATGTTGTAAGTGATACACATTTATTTGAATGTCAACGATATAAATAATATTCGAATGCGAACGTGGAATGGCAGACAGCGCACTGGTCTATTATGCCAGAGATCCCGGGTTTGATCCCAGTAGAACCAAAACATTTACGCTCGTGTCTCCTCTTGGAAAAGACCGGCAACTTCCCGAGAGTATCTTTGCCAACAGAAATACCTCTCGAAAAATTCACCGTTCGGAATCGACATTAAAACTATAGGTCCCATATGTTCATGGCAATTAAATAATCAGCGTGCGCACCACAAGCATATGAGAGAGGTGTAATACATACCAGAGATCTAACGTAAGAAAAAGAAGATAAATAATATTCGTGATATTACCTGTGCGCGACGTTCTAATGACTTTCTGTAAAGTATCGCTTCAACACCACTCCGTCTGTGATAACGATTTAAAGCCTTTAGTTTCTCATAAAGCTTTTTCTCTTTTGCAGTTTCTCTTTTTTGACTGTATATACTACCTATATATTGCATATAATTTATTTATCAGAAAAGATAACAAAATATTGAAATTATTTAAAATATACTTACATAATGTTTCTTTTTCTTTTTTCAGAGCGAGTAAATATTTTCGTCTTTTTTCTTTTAGTATATATTGAAGTCTTCTGAATTGATCGATATAAAGAGATTGAAGCCTAATTAGTTTTTCTCTCGCGATATAAATTACCTCTTCTGCGGTAAAGATACCGGCGTGCCTTAAAAAATTAATACTAATAATTTAGGGAGTAAGTAGTATCTTATTCTTGTGCACAAAGCAGCTACAAGAAAATTCAAAATTAGAAATGCAAAATATTCTCTCTCTATCTAACGTTATACAATTTTTTTAAATTAAAAAAAGGAGAAAATATTTTATTAACGCTTTTACATTTGTTTGAGAAATATTTAATTTAAAATCACATTAACTGTTCAAATTTACCTATTCCATACAAATAAGTTCTAATATTAGATGTGAGTAATAAAAAAAAAGGCGAGTAATATTTTTTTTAATATAAAATTGCACAAGCTGAAGCATGCTAGCGAATTATTCTAAAGCTGTATCACACTAGAGACAGAAATTGAGATTGAGATTAGATTGGAATTTGATCAATCAATGCAAAGTTCACTAAATTTGGTTTTCTTTCTTTTAAAGCCTTTCTTTCTTTCTTTCTTTTAAGATCTTAGTCTTTTTTTCTTTTGAATTATTCTTTTTGT